CGCCGCCCACCGAAGCTGCTTTGTCTCCGGCGTCCGCGGGGGCCCTCGGGCCGCCTCCCCTGTCCGTTCCGGGCGGCGCTGAGCGCAGCGGCCCCGGAGCCCTGGACCACCGTCTGCGGCCCTCTCCTTTCCTGCACCCGGACCCCTGAGGTGCCGGGGGGAAGGACCCCGAATCGGCGCTCCGGCGAGCGCAGGGGGGCACCCAGGCGGGCAGTCAGTCGGAGAAGGCGTGTTTCATGTCCGTAGGCAGTCTTCCCCCGTTCCACGCGGTTTGCTGCCCACTTTCCCCGCCGTGCCCATTTTAAGAGGTGCTTTTCAAACCACAGTCTGTCTGCACCGTGAGGTCTGGAAGCAGAGATGTATGGCTGTCCCGATGCACTGCAGATCTGAGTGCAGATCAGTTGGGGGGAGGGGGTCATGGCACACAGCCCTATAGCGCGCACGAGTGTGTGTGTGTGGTGTGTACACACTGAAAGGTAACTACTGTACAATGATCAGCAGCTCTAGATAGGGGAGCTGGCCAAAGGCCCCTCGGGATGTTCTTTGGGCCCGGAGCTCTGAGTTCCCACTTGAGCACAAAGAGGAGATGTTGACAGCTCTTGATTCAGGGATGGATCCTCAGAAGAAAGGAGGACCAGAAGTAGAAGTAGAAAGGCAGAGATTCTCACACACTTTGGGACTGAGAGGCGGGAAATCCTTGGGATCTGATTCGCTGGCAGGTTTTGGGGAAGTGAAATAGGTGTTAAACAAAGGAAGAAGCATTTTTCTATGCTGAAACAAAAGGCTAACGGGGTCCCACAGTTAGCAAGGGTGGAAGGTGGAGATAATGGGGCGCAGGCCCTCGCGGGGAGCGGTTTCTCCCTCCTTAACCGCGTGGCTGCCCCCAGACCGAGCTTTAGGCGTACAGGTGAGGACGTTCCTATTGCTTTTGCCCTGGCAGGATTAAATCAAATTTATATGGCCACCCATCTCGCAAAAAAGTGACTCTGGGCAGTATGCAATAAAACTATAAAACAATTTAACATATAACAAATAATTATTATTTTAAAAAATTTAAAATCACAAAGGCTAAGAGAGGACAGCAGATGCTAACAACAATGGAGCCACCTCAGTATCTTGCCGGTCCCCTGGGGCCCCCAGGCCGGATGGCATAACCAGGTTTCGAGGGACTTCCTGAGAATCAATAGGGATGGGGCCGGCCTCACTTGGCGGGGGGGGGGGCGGCGGGGAGGATGTTCCATAAGGCAGGTGCCGCGGCAGAGAAGGCCCACCTCCTGAGACCCGCCAAATGTAATTCCCTGGCAGGCGGGTAGTCCAGCTCCCTAGCTGGCGGGGCCCGCAGCACAGCTCTTCTGCCAGACCTGGTGGGACGGGCAGATGTAATCGGGGAGAGGCGGTCCCTCAGATAGCGCAGCCCCATGCCACGGAGGGGGTTAAAGGTCAAAACCAGCCCCTTGAACATTGGCAGCAGAAACACGATTGTTCTTGGGCTGTGCAGCAGCCTGGGCTGGTGGTCCTATTTTACCTGTCCAAGTGGGGGACCAAGAACGGCGGAGAGGAGGGGGGAAGAGTCTGCAGTGTGGTTTCACTATCTTTCCATCGCACTCTGTGAAGCTGGCCAACCACTGAGCATGGAGAGACAATCAGTGCCCGGAGACCCCAGATCCCTGGATGAAAGCCCCGCACCCAGCATCCCGAGGCTGTCGCACGTGTGTCTTTGCCTGGCCAGCCACCCCAGACAGCTGGAGCCCTCTGCTCCTCGGAGAGTCTCCTTTAGAGGGGAGAGACCCTGAGCTGACCTTCATCTTGTTCCTTCCTGGTGACAGAGCCTGGGATCTCCATTCTCCATCTTGAGATTTCTGAATCTTGGAGTTTCTCATCACCACACAAGCGGCTGGCTTTCCCCTAGCTGCTTTAGATCCTATCCTGGTGGCTTCTGGGGACAGTCGTGGCCCCTGCACTGTCAAAGCCACCATGGGCTGAGGATGTTCCGTGCGCCCATCTGGCTAATGCTCCCTATTGTGATCTGAATGGCTGCATAGCCTCAGCCTGATCTCCTCTTCTGACAGAGTGATCAGTTTATTTGATTGGGGGAATGCAGTGAGCATAATGTCCCTTGATGTGAAGATGGACAGAGCTCTCCCCTGAGATCTTGGCAGAGAAGGTGGGAATGCGTGGGTGGGCGCTGCCACCCTTAGGTGGATGCGGAGCGGGTGGAAGAGTGGTGCTCCAAGAGTGGGCCTCAGTGGCTCTGTGTCGAGCTGGAAGGAGGTGCTGGTGGCCCTCTAGCCCCCGACACTTGTGCAGGACCTGCAGGAGGGTGCAGGGTTATCACGTTTGGGGTAACACAGAGAGAAGGAATAGAAAACA